GAACTAAGCTCGAGCTCGATCCTCGTACTACCTTGGTGAGCCGAGCTAAGCTCGAGCTTACGAGCTTTTGATTCGAGCCGAGCTCGAACTCAAGGTTCTAGCTTGAACTAAGCTCGAGCTCGATCATCGTACTACCTTGGTGAGCCGAGCTTGAATAGCTAGCTATTAAGCTCGGCTCGACTCGAAACCACTCGTAATGAAGACCTAGCTAAACCTCGAACCGAGGAGAACCACCTCAGGGTTGTGAGCCCGTCTCAGTAGGTGACCTAAGAAACAAGCCACCTTGAGCTCTTGTGAAGTCCTGACAAATGAGTGACCACAACAATTGTCGAATCAAGGTTTGAGGAAGCAGCACCTACCGATATGACCTGCTATCGGAGGCAAGCACAGAACCTTACCACATGTCTTAAAAAATGATCAATTGGCAATCCATGCAACAGATTAGACGTCACGTAAAATTGTCCATCAATCGACAGGTCCCAGCCAAACATACTACACCACATGGCCAAATCACCCAACAGGTGGCCCCAAATAAGCCCCAAGTGGCTCAGTTGATTTCCAAATGCTCCAAACTAAATCCCAGTCGACCAGGCTGGTCTACAAATGGCCTGACTAAACCACAAATGTTTCAGAACCAAGCTCTAAATGTTCTAACCGGGTCCAAGATGCTCAAAACTAGATACTAGGTGTCTTGAAGCATGACAGATGTCCTATGCTTGTTTGACATGTACAATCCCAGTGTACAACCGAAGTATGACCCCGGGCTATCTGACTTTCTTTCCCTCCTTACAGTTACCTCCGAGATGTTTCTCAGGCCTGGGGAGGTTTTTGACGGCATCATTTACCTTACTGGTTTATCTCTATGGAATCTAGTCTTATCATGATATTAAGATTTTATATACAAGTATATTCAAAACATTAGAGTCTTAATTGGTTGCCTATACTGTATCCCGACATCTAAAGGAAGGTCTACGACCGGCTCCATGCAATATGCATGATGTACCACGTTTATGTATGATTAATTAGTTTGTCTTTTGTTTCCCCGACCTAATCTGGTAGGTAAGCTGCTGTCCATCTCCATGAAAGACTAGAGCTTTATAGTCTTCAAGGCAGCCGGCTACTGGTTGTCTCTACTATGCATAATGTCCCTAAAAGCAAAGAGACGAAAACGGATTTTATTATATTTTTATTTTCATAGATTCTAGAGAGATAGAGAGAGAACATCAAACCTTGAGCTTGAGAATCCAAGCTAGCTATTTTTGTTTGGATTGCTTCTCAGAAAGGTTTACTGCACCGAAACGAAGACTGTAATTTTGTAATAATACACAGTTTGGATTTTGGAATAAGCCCTATTCTTTTATTCGTTAACTTGGAAGGACATTTGATGGTGTTTATGGTTAAGGAGTTGGGAGAGATTAGAATAGTTAAAAGGAAAATGCTGCTTAATTGCTTGATGAATGGCCTCTATAAGGCAGACTAATTATTAGGGTCCGATTCATTGAAACACAAAAATGAAAGAAACTACTCGGCTATTCCCTTCTCTCTCCTGGATAACCCAATTAGGCTTTTGGTCAGTCACTTTAGATCTGTCGAGTTTCAAAGAGAGAAGGGAATTAATAAATTAAGGAGAGATTCTGAGACCCCACGGGATCGTGCGAGACGATTAATTAATTACAAGTAAGAAAGCAAAATTATGATGATTGGATAAATTCAAAAATCAAAAAATTAATAATGAACTTAAAAAAAGTTTGTTTTCTGTATTTCAATGTCATAGTATGGACCAATGCAATCTTCCCGAGTTACCTTAAGCACGAATCTCAACAATATGCCACGTGCCACATGACGTATTCACAATGGGGCATAATTGTCGGAATGTGATTACCACCACATCACAATTCACAATTATTCACACCAAACACGTATTCCCTCGCCTTCCTTTTCTCTTGATGTCTGTATTCACTCTTTCTTACGTGTGCGAGAGAGAGAGAGAGAGAGAGAGAGGCCCAAAATCCAAATCAATTGTTTGGCAACTGATCCACTTATGAATGTGGAAAGACAATTGAATAGAAACAATGAGACGACTACGTGGGATCACCACTAGTCAGCAGCTGTCACTACCCAACAGTTGTGCAAATTCTTTCAAGGAAGGAGACTGGAGACCACAAATTAAAGCATCATCAAATACATGTCTGTCTCTCTGATCATATTTATTCATCAATCCATCTCATCTCTGCTGAGACAACAAACCAAACCAAAATTGGTTGAATCTTTTCTGCACACTCATTTGTGTTGTGTTTACACTTTACACACACGCGCATACATAGAAAATACAAGTGCTGAAGTGCGGACTGCGGAGCAAACAACAGCAAGAATACAAGTACATCTTATAAATATATATATATATATATATATATATATATATATATATATAT